CATTGTCATGGTTTTGGTTTCCACAGTAGTGTAGTTCAGCTCCTTAGCCAGTCTCTCGTGTATGAAGCTATGTGTGCTCCTACTATACTATCTATTAAAATAGATATTCTCTTCCCCTTAAAATTCTTGGAATTCTGATAGTTTTATGCCCTAGAATTCCTTCCAAAGCATTGATAGAAATCTCCATAATTCTCTCTTCATCTGATTCATATTTCCTTTCCTCCTTTGATTCACCTTCCTCGATAATTTTAGTATTCTAATCAAACCGCTTACACAACTCTTAAGAAAAAATTCTCCAATTTGCATTATGGTGTCTAGCAAGAAAACTTGGCTCTGATACCATTTTGTCATGAATTGAATTTGAATTCTCAACCTAAAGTTTCTGATAGATGAACTATGAAATCCTCTCAGTGGAATGACCTGAAATTGTAACCAATTTAAAACAAAATATAATGGAGATAGGATAAGTGATGTTAAATGAATAAGAAAAGATGGAGAAAAGTTATTGATAGAATCAACAATTACACTGAGATTCTGGCAAAACAAAGCTGCTTCACCTTTCAAATACATTTTAGCAATTCCAAATCTCAACTCAGTGGGATCTGACAAAGTTGGAAATATTCCCTAGCTTTTCCAAGCCATTCTTTTAGGTTCTTCTCTCCTGAAATAACGTAGTTTGACCCAAATAACGCCTAGAGGGAGGGTGAATAGGTGTTTATAAGAAAATTTTACTAATTAATTAATAAATGCAATAAGTCACAATTATTACTATGTCCAAATCAATTCACATGCATTACTATTCTATGTTGAACTTTCAGAAACAATAAAATCACAAAAATATGAAGAACACAATTATTTGATGATGAAGAAACCCCATACATGAGTAAAACTCTAGGCACAAGCCAGTTCGAATCCACTATAAACGAAAGTACCACTTACAATCTGTTAAATTCAATCGACACTAGTTTTTCTGACCTTCTGATTATAATTTTCCAAAGCCCTCCTGGAATGGGTGATCTTGCTCTAACTCTCCTATCCAAGCCTTCTTAGATTACTTGCTCTTGCAACAATTCCTGACTTTTGATTTCGTCTCTCTTGTAGATTCCTGAGAACTCCTCATTCTCCAATGATTGGAACTCCGATCTCCTTTCCTGATCTTCAAGTCTCAATAGATGCTCTGGAAGGATTGTTTATGGTATTTGATGAAAGTGGATTTAATGTTTTTATGTATGTATGCCAAGAGAATGTGGGATTGAATGAACAAATCAAAGTGTAGCATTTTTCTCCAAGTTTGATCCTCTAAAAAATAACTTAAAAACAACGCACTAGAATTTATATGATTGTTTTATGTCATATGGGTCGGGTTAAAATCTTGAAAAAAGAAAAATAGGGTTCTCCAGGTAACACTGTCTCTCGAGCGAAAAGCGAGCAACCCTGTTTCGCCCGAGCGAGGCAATGGCAAGAAGCTAGCGATGAGCTTTGTGTTTTTTATGCTCTAGCAATCTCCCGGTGAGCAGCTAGCGAAATTTCGATGACACTTCTTGCCCTACTTTAAAACTCAAACCCTAGTATACTTCTGAAAATTACAACTTAGTCCCCAAACTTTTAAACATGTATAAATTGATCCCTAACTTTTAAACATTGACAAATTGACCACAAACAATTTGACCCTTTTGTTCACAGGATTGCCAACTCAAAATCTAACATCCCCCAAAGTGCGAAAAATCGAACTTAGGCAGCCTATTATTTCCCTTAAAATCCCATATAGTATAAATAGTACTTTCAGTGTTACTAGCTCTAAAGATAGATATTACACCCTCAGATTTCACCTTGACCATAGTTTCTTCCACTCATTTGTTATTCTGCCCCATTTGATATTGAAGACAACTGGGTCAACATGGCCACTAAATTTTCATATTTGTGATTCATATGTAACGGCTTAGCTTCAAGTTTTTCTTGTCTATGCCCAATTACCTAGAGAGATTGATCAGTGGAAGCCAACTTGTTCTTCAGCCTGCTGGTAACAACTTTAAAGGAATTACCTAGATGAGCAATCTCCAGGTCCAAATTCTTGAAGTGTTCATCAACCTCCTTCGACCTTGTATCCATGATTATTGATTGCCCATTATAATATGTTGGAAACAAAGGGGTTTGAAGAAGAGCAAAAAATTGCCGCAGCAAGATGAAGAAACCAGAAAGTTGTCAAGAACAAATTCGAAGGCTCGAACACGTGATCGTTGTCCTCAAATGATATTTGCCCCTTCTCGGGATTGAATGAGATGTTTAAGGGTTTTGACAGACAGTTTGTAGGATTATATCAAACCTTGTAAAGGATTTAACAATAAAGTACAACTGCAATCCCAATCCTCCAAAACTTTAAGAACACAAAGAAAGATATTAATATGAATGTAAATTAATAGTTTGATTCGATGTGGAATGATATATGGATCTCAACATATTTTTCAATATTTCTAATGCGTTTGTATTGATCATTCATCACCTATTTATAGGCCTCAATCAATACACCACGAAATGGTGCCAAAATATGATGAAAAGTGGCAACTTTAATCCAAAACGGTCCCCAAGTTTCAAATTGGAAAACCATCCAATAGCTATTTTTTAACATTATGCGTACGCATAGTATAAATCTTGTATATGCACAGTAGAAGTAAATTTGATTCTATTTTGACCAAAACACATCTCGCGTACACACAAAAGTAAGCCCATACGTACGCGTAGGCAAAAATCAAATTTTTCATTTTTCAATTTCTTTTGATTCTACTAATTCCACAATTGAGCCCAACAATTAGCACATTATCATTCCATTAATTTTGAACAAATATTCAACATAATACGCCTACTCTGGTAGGGTCGGACCCAGACGACTTGAGTTAGGGGATCACAAATAAAATTTATAGGGTATCTTCTAATAAAAAAAAAAGCTAAACAATTTTTTTTTTTTCAAAATCTAGAGGGTCACTTGACCTTGTAAAATCCCCCAGGTCCGCCCCTGTGCTTTGGTAACATTTGTCACGAGCTGAATTGCAACTCGCAAACACAGCTTCGCACAAACCAACTCTGGAATTTACTCCAGCTAAAATAAGGAATTTTTTATACAAAATTATTGGAATAAAATGACACAGTTTCATTTAGTACCAAACAACCCTCTTTCCTTTTAGAAGTCCATTTTGTTCGTTGGTGCTTGGTTCCTTCTACTTCCCATTTCTCTAGTTTGCTCTTCTGCTTCTGTTTGGTAGTTCTTCTTCCTCAATTTCCCAGCTATTCTTTACGTAAAAAGAATGTGACTGGCTCATTTGGCAGAACAATTGGCGGTTAATTTTCATAGCATCTTATATATCTGACTAGACAAGGAGTTAAATCCATAAACACCATCATCAAGTTTTACAAAAATCACTCAAAGAAAGCCACAATAGAAATTTTTTGAACCCACGTGGTACAGGACCCAATCAAAATAGTGAACAAACAGTAAGAATTATTCTCCACGTTTCTGCATGCATGCACACTCTTTACCACCTCATACCATGCAATCCTGGAGCCTAGGATTCTTCCTAGGAGTTCTGTTGGACCTTCGTCGTCCATCACCACCAGGGGTGAATTCAGCATCGAAGTCCAGCTAGGGCGGAGGTTGACCATTGACCGTCGACAATCAACGATCGTAATAGTTCAGTCATTTATTAAAATTTGATTAAATAATGTTAAAAGTTATTCAATATATAAGTAAATTCCCAAATCAATAATCATTCCTCGTTAAAACATAAATTACTTATCATAAATCACAATTCACAAACATAATTTCGTAAACATAAATTCCCGAATCAATAATCATAACTATAAAACATAAATTACTTGTCATAAATCACAATTCGCAGACATAATTTCATAAACATAAATTCTCAAATCAATAATCATTCCTCATCAAAATATAAATTACTTATCACAATTCACAATTCGCAAACATAATTTCGTAAACATAAATTCCCAAATCAATAATCATAACATAATTAACATTCATTACTCAACGTTAACAAATCTAAGTAGCCAACAAAATAGAACTGAAACAAAATCAAAAGAGAGAGAGAGAGAGAGAGTCACCACACACCAATTCCAGTGGGTAGTCGCGAGCTTGAGAGTTGAGACTAGAGTCTAGAAGGTAGAAACGGCAGACAAGCGGTACAACAGTCGGCAGAAGAACACTGAACACATCGTTGGCGGCTTCGGGCTCCGACGACTCCTCATCCTCGAGGCGTTGGTGTTGCCAACTCTTCGATTTCAAATGGAATTTTAGAATGGAGTCTCAGAATCTATCATGTGGATTGGAAAGTGGAGAAGGAAGGAAAATGGTTTGGCTGTCACGATTTGGGCATTTGGAATCTTGGATTCTTGGTTGCCTTTCACGATATCAAAATGGTCTGATCATTTGGAAATTGGACCATTTGTTAATTCACTCATTTAAGAATTGGGCTAAATAAAAAAAGCCCAACTTCTGATTTATCAATTACTCACTTCAGAGTAGCCCAAACCAAAAAAAAGGAGGTCGTCTCTTTCATCTTCGTCTTCCATCTTACTCTTATTTTATGTTTTTTGAGCTGAACTGTACAAGTGACTAATAATAATCCATATATAATTTACATAGCTGGATTTGACAAATTTTATCCACTATACAATTTAATCTATAGCCTAATTGAGTTTTCCAAATGCACACTAAGTGCCTTTTTAATGCATATTAAAGTGGAAAAAAACTTCTAAATTTGCTGTAAAGATCAATAAATTAACCAGAATCAAGGAAAAGTGCATAACAGAAACTTCAACATGACAATGCAAAGTTATAAAATTTGGATTGAATGCAAAGCTACTCAACCTAGTTGGGAAAGTATTATTTTGACAATGTGGAAAAAGCTTTAAATAGTTTCCTAAGATGAACTTGTTACTCAGCACAACAATTACTATCTGCTACCCTAATGCTAAAATTCAAAGTTTACCTTCGATTTATAAGGCTTGACATTAATTTGAAAATTGTTCCATGGCCTAATGTTTTCCTTCATCCAATGTTGAATTTCAAACAGTAGATTCAACTCCTTTCACCATAAATCTGACTATATTAGGTTGAAAAAAATAAAGATAGAACGTAAATTCATCCAAAATCGTAGAGTTACAAGGTGGAGCAGCGTCAAAAACAATTGGAACAAAATGAACAAAATTATTCCCCAAAAATAAAGTAAGTTTTATACTAAAGTAAAATCTTGGAACACAATGATTACCATGAAACAAAACCAAATTAACAAGGAAAAAAAATGCATCTGATAAAGAGTAACAGTTGCAAATATTATTTCAAGGAGAATTTTTATAAATGTCACTAAATTAAAAAATCCACAAAAAAAATTTCATTTTCACTAAAGATGCTCAAAAATGTCACTTTTTGGTATGAAAGGTCCAAATTACCCTTAGTGACACATTTTTAAGAGCATTTAATGCTTGATTTGAATGTCATAAATGTTATGATGTGATGATTAAATTTGTATATTATAAACATTGAATATATGATTATTATATTGAGTAATATGAATTTGGGTAAAAAAAAAAAAAAGAATTTGAAAAGTTAACATAAAACACATATCTTCTTTCCATTAACAAACTCTAAATTCTTATACATCATCTTCATTCCTTCATTAAGACGACATTACTATTGAATTCATCATCCATTTTGAGAGGTTACTACTAGAAATTGTTTATATTTTTATTTTATAACTTACTATTTTGTAAATGTTAAATATAGTATGGTCATATTTATTTGAAATTTCTGAAACTCTTATTCATTGATTTTTTTTTATTTTTTTTGAAATCTTTGAAATCTTTTTAAATCCTCTACAAAATGTTGCGAAAGATTTCATATTTAATGAAACATTCAGTTATTTATTTGGGAAGATGTTATGTATTTGAGAATTGATTATTACCATTAATGTTTTGAATAATTTCTTTAAACTAAACCCAATAAATGGTTGACGGATTGCCACTTTGATGATTTATTGTGGAAATTATTTGGGAAGATGATTTTGTCATTTGATAGTACAATATTAATGAGCACACTTAATGTGATGAAAGCTTTGTTCCAATCAACCACATATATGCTTCCCATCAGTTCCGACAGTTCAACTATTGAATTCAACCTGTAGAAATCGTTGGGTTAGACATTTCAACAGTCAAACTCAACATTTCGAAAACTGTCGGGATATATATTTCAATTGTCAAATTCTACACTTGGAAACTGTCAGGATAGAAATTTCGAATATCGATTTGACCTTTTGCTATTGTATCGATTTAAATATTCGAGAGTGTGCCACTTTCATGCTATTACATGTCAACATAATAATTGTGTAGAATTCTCACCATTATAATCTCAACTTTTTATGTATGAGTAATCATTTGAGATTTATTGTATCGCATAGAAAAATATTTGTTCATGTGGATGATGAATGGAAGTAGAGAGTGGGCAAAACTACCCACATGACACAAGTGATTCAAAACAGATCCGAAAATCCACTCGCTGTGGTAGAGTTGGTCATAACCTGGTCACATGTGTCCAATCTCATTGTAACATCACCCATGTACATAGGCTTAATGTTTGAAAATAGTTGAAGTTGTATTTTGCATGATCGAATGATGGCGTTGCTCATTTTTTTGTTATATTATCATTATCATTTGCAAACATTAATCATGTAGCAATAACATCACAGCAAAGTTCTCACATAGACAAATTACTTCATTACATTTTGATAGTTCATCTGTCAGTCTCGACAGAATATTTTTGTTCCTAAATTACCCGTGTTTTTTTTTGCATGCACAGAGCTGGCGTTATACGTTCTGTATTTATATTATCACTGAAATTGCTTTACCATTTGAAGACATTAATCGTGTTTAGTTCAAAAGCAAAATATTTCATCACATCCTGAAAGTGAAATCGTCGGTCCCGACAGAAGGTTCCTATCATTGTCGACAATTTGTTGCAAACTTGACTACAAATAAGATGCAACAAGATATGTTGTTGCACAATATTTGGTACAGACGTTAACATATGAATTCATGATAAAATTACAATAAATAATTATAGCTGATAACATATGCAAATTTTGCCAACATCAATGGTCGTCGAATTCTTGAAGGTGCATAAGCATAATATATACAACCACCAAAGCATGTTTATAATAAAATTCTTGGAGAATTGTCCCTAGTATGGTCATTTAGTATATAATCATCAAATAATGTTTATCATAGAATTAACAAACTTCTTGAGGCACTAATTCTTGACTTCTTTATTCTCCCCTTAGTGTATGGAGTCCTAGTAGATGTTGTACAAAAGTGAACGCATGTCGATTGCGGCCTTTTTGTGTTAGCTGCATTGTTGCCTTCCACGTGTATGGTGGCCACCACGTTACATCAGGGACGTTGCCTATGCAAAAGTAATATGGTTGAATTACTTATCCAAAATGCCAAATAATAACATAACATAGCCCACCAATATCTAATTATTCCCTTAACTACCTAAAATCAATATTATGAATACTTCTTTGGGAACCTCCCTTCAGGTTGGACCATAGCATTAAAAGTGGGAAACATACTTTTCACCATAGCATCATCCAACATTGTTACTATCATCTGCATTTAAATCATGAGAAGATATTTAACATTAGTTTTCAACTCAACATGCTTATAATATATAATCAGAATTCAACTTAGTATGACTTCTTCAATACAAAACTTACCATTCGCCACCATCATGTCATAACTCAAGGGAACTTCTTCTTTGTCCGGATATGACACATAGGACTCTATGCCCCATCCATCTAGTTGAAAACAATATTTGCAATATTAACGGGCATGTCATCAATTTCTAGTATACTAGGGAATAATGAGAGTATTTAAAATTTTGAATTTCTCATAATTAACATACATATCAATTACCTTCTTGTTCCCACTAGGCAATGTACTCTCTTGATCATTCGAGGCACACACTTTTCGATTCTATGCCTTATCCATTTTTGGGAAGGAGGAATTTAAAATTCATTTGCGAGAACAAAACAAAAAGTCATATCATAATAATTAATACATGTTAAAGTGACACACATGTAAGAAAGCAAAATCACACACGTGTAATGTTCGGATGAATCAAAATTGAATATGTGGATAGTTGACTACCAAACTGATATGTTGAGAACTTGTAATATGTTGAGAAATTCTGTCTCTGTCGAGAACGAAAAATCATATCGACAGATAACTCAACTCATCTACCGATATTTTAGTTATCTGTTGAGAATAATTGAAACGAACTGTTGGGAACGAAGTTCATCGCAACAAATAGGTCACATAACTGATCTGTGAATTAGCCATCTGTCGAAAATTCATAATTGTTGAGACTTTCATTTTGACAAATTAAAAAGTTCACTTAAAACATTTTAACATAGAGGACAATATGATAAGATATCTTAGATGTACATGAATTGTAAAAATCAATACTCCTACGTGCAGGGCAAGGAAATGACAAATTAAACCATCAGAGCATGTACTTTCCAAGTGGGCACCTTCATATGAAACAACTAAGTTTCAAATGATAAGATTGAGAAATCCAAATAGTTGAGAATTTATTTTATTATTATTTTTTTAAATGAAAGTAGCAACACTTTTTTTTTTTTTAATGAAAGTAGCTAGAAGAAATAAATTCATAGATAATTTACATAAAGCCTGATATTAGCATTTTCATAGAACTTAAAAAATAGACAAAAAATTCAAAAAAAAAAAAAAAAAAAAAAGCAAACCAAGAAAAAAA